CCTTTCTCAATCTATACCAGACCCTTATCCTAGATCGCGGTCTGGTATAGCTTTTAAAGGGAGGACCCCAAGCAAAAAGACAAAAACATTAAAAAAAGGAAATTGAGTTTTCCCCTTCACATCAGAGTCTCCGCTTTTACATCAGAAGCCCCCCTTGGAATTAGGAGCCCCCTTCACTTTAGAGTTCCCTCCCACATCAGGAACCCTCTTCATATCTGGAGCTCCCCTTCTCATCAGAGTCCTCCCTTTCACAACAGAGTCATCATAGAATGTCTATGGGTTTCCAACTCTATATATAATACATAGCAAAGGTATGGAGAAGCAGGCATCTAAGAACGTGAAAGTCATATCAAAAATAAAATATAACAGAAATATGGAGGGGCTCACATGTGAGTCTCATAAAAAAATAGCTAAGTTAAGCAGTGAAATGGTAATATAGTATATATAGTATTACTATAGTAATAGTATAGCTTACTGAAAATACACTTTACCTTTTAAGATGACAATCTACTCTTGCAGTATACTCTCCCAGAGATAATGGAAAAAGCTATTTTTTTTTTTTGCCAATTTACAAGACTGTAGATATGTACCAATTTAAGTGATGAGTGGGTGGAAAGTTAGTTGTATTAGCTGAGATTCAGCAGATGTAGGAGACTTTATGCAGACCAAATATGAGTAATGTTCACTACCTTCATTTGTTAGTTTAGTCTTGCTGCAATAAGTACCACCCTCCCTTAATCCCACCTGAAGCTTTCAGTGGTATCTCCTGTCAACAGAGGAGATTCCTGTAAATTGGCATCCCACGTTGGCATTGTTGACTCTACTACATTTCTCCTCACAGTCATGGTTGCCTGAAGATGCTGGCTGTTTTAAAATTGGTGCAGTGGTGTTCCAGATGTCAAACCCAAAGACAACTTGCTCAACTGGGTTATGGCACTGTCCTCTATATTTCCTAGACTTATACTGTTGCTTTTGGAACCTTGGTGAAGGTCACCGATATATGCATGGGGGATGACCCCATTTTAATTTTTCCTGTGTTGGGATGGCTATTTTCTTCTCAACTCATCATCAGCCATGTTTCTTCTTCTCTGTATGTCTTCTGTTTATTAGGTGCAGCAGGAAGGTGATGCAGGTCAAGAAAGTAGGCAGTAGTAGCTGTATCTTTGATGAACTGTCACGATCTGGTTTCAGGCTCAGAGTGCAGTAGCTGAAGCAGCAGGAAATTCGTTGTATAACAGGCCAGGTTTGGTACACAAGCAGACGGTAGTAGTAGTGGAGGAGCAGGCAAAAGCGCAGTCAGCGAACAAGCCGAGATCAGGAGCCAAAGGTATCAGGTATGTAGCAGAAGGCGATGAGAGTAGTCGGTGAATCAGCAGCCAAAGGTCAGTACGCGGGTAGCAGTATGAGCAGATTATAGCACAGAGGGAGCAAGAAGCAACATAATGGCAGGAGCACAATAATCTGGCAAACAGGAAGTGTAGAGCCATGGCTTAAATAGGAAGTTCAAGGGAGGAGCAAGGAGTTCAGAGTTCAGCAGAAACCAGATTTAATTGAGGATTACACAGGAGATCAGGCCAGGAGCTATCCAAGGTTCTAAGGTGGCTCAGCAGGTAGAACCACTGCCAAATAAAAGCAGAGGTCCTAGGTTCAGATCTGGTTCCTGACATGAACAGTGTAAGTTGTGCATGTGTAGAAAGGTTAGTGTTTGCTATGGAGTCTACATTCTAGCAATATACACTACTTTCTGGATATGTAGACACCACCGGTGTCTACATATCAGCAGAGCATGGTTCCCCTAAAATACACCACTAGATACTCAATTCCTGGAAAGAGAGTAACTGAAGCTATTGCCCTGTATGTATCCAGTCTGTATACCACACTAGTTACGCTACTTTACATTGGCTAGTTAAATAGTTAGGTTGAAAAAAGACACATGTCCATCAAGTATTGCGTCTGCAATATTTCCTATTAGATACATGGTGTAGATTTACTAAAGGCAAACAGGCTGTTCACTTTGCAAAGGAATTTGCACTTTGCAGGTTAAGTTTCCCACAGCTTGGTGAATGGGGTGAAATTTAACTTGCAAAGAATACTCAATCCTGCAAGGAAAATTTAAAAAAAAACGGATTTTTGCTGTTACATGATTGGATGAGGGAAGTCAGCAGAGCTTCACCTCATTCACTAAGCTGAGGGAAACCTCCTCTGCAAAGTGATAATTTGCTTGCAAAGTGAACAGCCTATTTGCCTTCAGTAAAAATAACCCCATAGTTAATAGGTTGACAAAACACAGATGTCCTATGCTACATACCGGATATAACATTAGCTGGACAGCTTATTACATGGGATTTTGTGATCTCTTAGGGCACAATGGGGCACATCTTACGTTGTTTTGTAAATCTAACATTTAAAACTAGATCATAAGCATGTGATGACTTCTTACACAAGTTTTAATCTTTTTTACAATACTTCACAAGGTATTAAATATAGACGTTTTAACCAAAAGATGTGTTTATCCTTTTGCAGCACTGCAAACCATTTCAGCACACATTACATTACATCTGCTCTGCTTTTGAAATGTTTACATATTACCATTATTTTCATTGTGCTAAAATGTTCATTAAGCAAGAACAGGAAAAAGCTTAATATCATAGCCTGGCAGGTTTCCCACAGCCAATCTTTGAAGAAAGTTGGAAAATATGGGAATGAGATGTTGAAAACTTTAAACCAAGGAAAATGTTGCAAAAGAGGTTGCAACAGATATGACTGCTATAAATGTGAACAGCTAACCACCACGCTCTTGGACTGAGAAAAAATACAGAGGCTGTCATGGCTAAGCTGCTTCTGAAAATGCTAGTTTCCTTGCAATCATTCTTAAACTCTCTCTTCAATATTTTGAATCACTGACCTAGAAGGCTCATACAGCAAGTGAAATCAGACTAAAGTCAGAACACCTTATCTACATACTTGCTCCAGGTCAGTGACCATGGCATGGCTATGGAAACTCCTCTATATTTCTAGGCAACTCCTCCATGTTTCCCTAAGCACAAATTTCCTTCAAAAAATGTTGGAAAAAAATGTTTAATCCCTGACCTACTTCCAAAAATGTATGTTGCCTGGTAGTTACACAGACCCACTGTCAGGGCTCCACCCTGACTTAACTGGTTTGCAGCATTCTGGCTTGGCTGCCATTTTACTTACCTGTGATTTCTCCTTTGTCTGAGCCGACTCTGGAACATTGCTCACTACTCCCAGGCTCCCTCTTATGGCGGGACAAGAGAGCATCACCTGAGAGAGTCAGATGGGAGTTTCCTGTCTCTGAGTGATCGTGTCAGCCCACTCACTATATAAACCACTCAGTCCAGTCTGACCTTTCTCTTGCATGGTCTTACCTGCTAGTGCATTCCTGCTGCTCTGAGTATTCTGATTCTGTGTGTGACCCGATCCTGGCTGACGGTCTCCTCTGGTTCCTGCTTTTGGCTTGTTCCTGACAACACTGATTTCCTGGTTCCTGCTCCTGGCTTGTTCCTGACAACACTGATCTCCGTGTTCCTGACCTGACTTGTACGACTAACCACTCCGGCTCCTGACCTTGGCTTGTTACAGTTTATGATTTTTGTTTGCTCCTTTGGACACTGTTCTTAATAAATATTTTAATTAGCACCTTATGCTTGTCTGGTTTTCAATGTGGTCTGACACCCACTGGTTTCAATACTTTCCTAGTCACTGATCTGAGGGTGTACATCACAGTGATGTCCAAAACTGAGAATTAGCAAGTGGGACCAATATCACAACTAGGAAAGCTAAGGTGAAACATGCATACCTGCGCTGATCAATATGTCAGCGGACCTAATGTTGAAGCACCTTAAGGGACCCACCATAGGGTCATCAGCAGTTTAAGTAATGGTCTTTGATGTTGGGCTCTCTGCACTGGGGTTTTGGCAGTAAAAATAAGTTAATAAATAAAGTTTGTCCCTAAATGCCCTGAGCTTTAACCGTTTGGCCATAGTAAACCTGGCCCTACCCATCAACCCTGTTTCACTTGAATCTTAACTTAACATAGCCCTAAGAGTTAGTCTGTCAGGATGAAAGCTGCATTTCTGACTTGTTTTTAAAGAAGCAAGCTTGCAGGCCATCTTTCTCATGCTTACTTCACTACTTAGTGAGTCACTAACCTGTCACAGTTTTGCATACTGGGAGTTGGACTTCAATAGCTGCTGGGTTTGTAACTGGTGTTGCAGTGTCAGCTACCATATTCTATTCCAAATAAGATCTATTAAAATATGGATAAGTGACCCATAGCAGCACCACAGATACATGTTGTGTGCACATTATGACAAAGACGGTTGTGAACTGGATGTAAATGTTTTAATTATAAATAACTTATGGATTTAATTAGAGGAGTCAAATACATTCACCTATTTTCTGCATAAAAAAGTTTTAAAAAAAAGCAAAGCATGCAAGAGGTACACTGAACCGATAACTATATTCATTAATAAAGCATGTACAATAATTATCTTTCACAATACAATATATAACAAAATATTTTATTAATAAAAGCTTTTATTATTAATGTATAAAAATTTATCCTCAAGAATTTCCCAAATTGTACGAGTAAGAGTTAAAAAACTTGCTTATTTTTCATGTGGAAACTGTACATAAAGCATAAGGTGGCATCACTTATCTGTATATAGGTAAGGCTACAGGCCTGGCATTGCCAGTAATTAAGGATAGGGTCTATGTACATGGTATAATAGCAGATACGTACATTTTAAAATAGGAATGTTCTATATGGTAGCAAAGTTGGGTCACTGTTTTATTCTAAACTCTCTTATTAAAAAGTTGACATATAATAACCCATATTTCATGTGTGCAGATGGCTACAGAAATGAAGGCACTTGTAACACCCTATAACTAGATTGGATAAGGCAGCTAATAAAACACTTTTGAGAGCAATAACAAAGAGTGGAAGTTAATGACTTATTGCTCTTCTCCATGTCCTTAGGGCTGCTTAGTTTAGTGCCGAGCACAGCTTTGTGATATAAGGCACAAACACATTGAAAAACATTTATAAATCTGTACACCAGGTATATGTCATATGCAGCACCATGACTTTACTCAATATGTTCAGCAAATGTCAGTTACATGTGTGACCGACTTCAGCTTGAAATTTCATCTCATCTTTTCGAAGGGGGAAAGCATCAATGAGCGTGAAGAGATCAGAATTGTTGATAGGCATGATGTATCGTTCTTTGTCTACTACATGTTTATCCAAAACCACCATCTGATATCGGTTCTCAGGGATTCGCAGCAGCAATCTACAGAAAAGGGGTGAAAGATTTAGGTACAGAATATGGTAAGAAAGTCTTTGTGTTGTCTCAGAAAATTCGTAAAAAGGCTTCTATATTTAATAGTAACTAGTGGTAGGTCTAACCAAAACACAACATTTATAAATGGCTGATGGTATGCTAATATTTCCCTTCCTTAAAGTGTATATAAGTCAAATATAACTTGTTTCTGATAGAGTAGGACTTACAAGTCCCTGTGAATGGATCACGTGGCTGTGTAGGTGGAGCATTGCATACAGAATCCTGCTGGAAGAAGAACCCCATGATTCAAGTAAGTTGGGAGGGGGGGGACATTAGAGAGTGTGGGGTTGGGGAATATGACCATGTTTCATGTTGCAACCTAAATATTGGGGCAACAAGAAGCATGGTCTGAAAGATGGAATATGCTTTTAAAATTAATCTGTAACAACTTTAAATATAACAATAAAGTATACAAGTTATCTTAAATGTGTCTGGAAGCATACTGAGGTTGCCTTATCCAAATGTTTCCGTTAAGATACTGCATTACAAAGTGTTCCTATCACCTTTTGTGTGACTCTAACTGTAATTACCCACAATAGACACACTGCTGAAATGATTTGTGAGTTAAGGCCTCTGCACATGTGTTATGCATCTGTCATTTGCCATCTGTTACTTAAAAAATAAAGTGACTATAGTATGAACAGTAGATGGATCTGCTATGATGAGAAGTTCCTGTCAAGCACAAGCTCCATGTATTTGATGGACAAATAAGGGACATAGATCCATCAATCATCATATGTTAACTTTTAGATAAAAATGGCACTAGAAATTTCTTGAAAAAATTAATAAATCGGTTGGAATGGAGAAAATCCCAATATTAATTTTAAATGCAGACATTTTTCTTTTTGGAGATTAGTATTTTCCAGCACTGCATGTTTCTCTTGTGGAACTGTTTTTTTTTTTTTACAGTGGCACATTCAGCACCCAATGAAATAAGTATATTGCTAAACACGTTTTAGGTTAGCAAATAGTTTTGTACTTGGGTCAAGGGTTATGGAGTTAAATGGTAGAGGGGTCAGGGGGAGGTTAAAGGTAAACTATGAGGTGAGTGAAAATCAAGTGAAGTGAACAAACACATACCGTCGCTCACTCACTTCTCGATCATCTCCCTGCAGAGAGCCGTGACTGTCAGTCACGGCTCCCTGCAGGGATCCCGATCCTCCAGCACTGACTGGAGGAACGGACGGAGGAGGGGTGGTTACAGCTGGCTCTGCCTCTAGATAGGCAAAGTCAGCTGTCACTCACGCAGCTGGGTGGATCTTGACAGTAATGTCGGGATCCGTCCCGGCTGCGCGGTCTCAGCATACCGCAAGCTGTAGCTCGCGATATACAGAGCTTTGGGTCACGGGAGGATGCTAGTATATGTCCTCCCATGACCCTTAAGAGAACTATGGGGGAAAACACATACCCCATAGTTCCCCTTTAAGTGTTAAGGACAAAGTAGCAGATTTACTTAACTGCTTCCCTCCTCAGCCACACATACTTACGTTCCCTTCACTTCCACATACTTACATTACCTTCACTCCCACATTCTTACCTTTTCTTCACTCCCACATACTTACCTTCCCTTCACTCCCCTGCTGCTAAATTTAGCTAACAGGAGCAAAGAGATATGCCTGGTACTTTTACGTATGGGGAAGCACTTTGCTCACTCCTTTTGCTCCCATGTAACAATGCTTGGTGATTACTCACTCAAGCACCTAGCAATGATACATGGGGACCAGGACAGAGTCCTCAGCCTTGTGTAAGCTCCAAGTGACAACTTGGATCTTACATAGGGATTTCTCTCTTCATTCCTGAAAGCAGAATAGAACAGCTGGGGAGCAATAGGAAGGCAAATATTTGCAGTTGGGGAGAGTAGCATTTAGGTGAACTGGTTGTTTTGCCAATGCAAGTACATTTTACAATTAGGTTATGTTTGAGGTGGATGGGTACATAGAGGTATTACTAAATGTTAGATTTTGCTTTATAGTTAGGGATAGTTTAGTGTTTGGGACACTTGGGGTACACTATTTTATTTTTACTAGCTTTCAGAGCGGAAAGCCCTAAACTGAAGACTAATGTATCCAAGGGTGCAAACAGATCTATCATTTTTTATAGATGAGGCTTAGCCTTTGCTAAACCCATACAAAAGAGGGACCCATTTATATCAAATCCATAAAATAGTTAAAGTGACACTAAACTCAGAAGTTAAATATTAAAAATGTGTTCAAGTACCCTCACTATTAACAAAAATGTAGCTTATTTTTTTATCACTGGGCTGTAGATCGCCAAATCATCTCTGAATTGATGCTGACATCGTCCTTCCTTCTGGAGGGTGTCTACTCTTGTTCCCCATGGTCCCTATGTGTGTTGTAAAGTAGCCACCACTCCAAGCTTGCTGCCGTGATGAACTACAATTTCAATACAAATTAGTAAACGAAAGGTGAGATTGTAGTCCATCACGGTCATGTAGTGTCACTTTAATATACTGTGGATTATGTCACATTTGGTTTTGTAAAATTGAGGAAAAAAATTCACCCCAAAAAAAGTCCTCCATGTTGGAGGCTATGACTTAGGGTTAGTTCACACCATATGCAGTGCGTTCCGGTCCGATTCTGGCCGGAACGCACTGCATCGCATTCTGGCCGGCTCACTTTTTTGTAGGGCAGGAGGGGGCGTGGCAGGCCATTGAAGTGAATGGCACCGTAGCCTGCGGTCCGGTGCGATCAAAATGCTGCAAGCACTATTTTGATCGCACCGCACCGTGTGAACTAACCCTTAATGAGGCAAAAGCCCTGCTTCAAGCAAGATGGTCACCACCACACAGAGACAGTGCAGAACGTGACAGGGTAAGCCACGAGGAAAATAATTGCTGTACAGCTACCAGAGTACAGGGAACAGCTTCCAGATTTCAGTTCCTTTTTAATGTCCAGAGCAATGATTGTTATATACATAAAAATGTAAAATCTAGCAAAATATAACATTGAAACTATTATAAATAGGCCCCAAGCCCCTAGTCTTAAAGAGAGTGCTAGATTATTATTGTTTAACCTCCCAGCATGCCTTTCCCAGCTGGCAACTACTGGCATAAGAGACAAGAAACTATTGATAATGTGACTGTGCACTGCATTGGCTGACATTTTAATTACTGACCTGTAAATAAACTCTTCATGTACAGAAACATTTTGTAAAATCACATTACCTGAGTTGTAGTCCTAATGCTGGGGGAAGCAGCGTGCGCCCTATTCTTCCAATGTATGTTGGATATACACCAAATATTTCAATGACTGTCACGTGCCGCAAGTCTAAGCCACACTGAGCTTGCTAAAAAGAAAATAAAAACATATTATAAAGCATATAGTTAAACTATATGAACTGTAATGAGCTTGTAGTTTCTACTCTAATGTGTAACTTTCTTTGATCAAGAAAAAAGTTTACTGTGAGGAATACATTCTAAGTCAACATCCAGACTTATGAGATGCTTCACCATAAACATATGATACACACACATGAGGAAAAGCAGTGCTTGGCCATATTGTTGTGAAGGACAGGGAACACTGTTGCAAGGATACCAACAAGCAGAAATGTTTGGTCTAGGTTTTCAACCTGTTTGTTCTTAGCAGAACTTTACATGCTGAAAACTTTTTCTGGTAGAATGCTCATGTCAAAATAAAGTGCATCAACTGTCATAAGCCATGTACCTTTCTTACACAAATTGTGATAGCATCTCATTCTGTATGAGAGCTAAGGACGGTGGGGCTGTTTTGTATAAAAGCTGGGGTTCTGCTTTAATCGTTTTACATTAGCTATTATTTGTTAAAACTCCGAACTGTTTTGCTTAATTTATTATCAGAAATGGAAGTACCCGCGTAGAACATCAAAAATACCCCCTGGGTAAAACACAAGTCAAGAACCTATGGTATAACATACCTTTGTACTGCATTGTCTGTTATAGTGTCATACCAATGAGTTGAGGTGAAAGATAATGAATGGTGTTTAAACCCTTACATAGTACGTCACTGGCAGCGGACACTTTTTAAACAGATAAAGCCAGCAGGACTCTGTTTACCTTTGTAGAGACGGCTGTCGGCTTTACAATAGAAGCGATTCTGGTGGCTCAGCTGCCATCAGATCACTTCTATGGGTCGACAAAGTGGCCGCCCCCTGCCCGACACCCCCGCTGTGTTTCCCCGGTTCCGCTGCCCCACCTAGGGGCCTGGGCCTGGCATCTCGGGTGTGGGCGGGAAGCTGGGGAGGAGAGCGGCGAACGTCCATTCACCGATCTCCTCCCCGCTGTTTGGGACCGGGAGTGATGCGAATTGCATCACTGGCGGTCCTTGGCCTGCCATTGCTCGGCTCCAGAGGACTAAGATTTTGAAGTGCGATCTGGACTTAAATAGCTTTTTTTAAAGTGGAAAGGTGACACGAGGGGTCTTTTGGACCCCCCGGTATCACCTTAAAGAGTACCTGCCACCACCAATATGCTATCACATGATATGAGAGCAATTGGAGTTAAAGGAGAACTATGTGGTTAGGGCTTTTCCCCATAGTTCTCCTTAGGGTAACAGGAGGACACAAACTATCGTCCTCCCGTCACCCTATGCTTAGTATACCGTGAGCTACAGCTCGCGGTATACTGAGACGCCGCAGCTGAAGCCGATCCCGACAATTATGTCTGGATCCGCCCAGCTGCCTGAGTGACAGCTGGCTCTGCCTATCTAGAGGCAGAGCCAGCTGTATCTGCCCCCTCCCCCGTCCGTTCCGCCAGTCAGCGCTGGAGGATCGGAGCGGGGAGGGGGGAATCCAGTCCCTCCCCTGTCACGGCAGAGAGCCGTGACAGGATCGAGAAGTGAGCGAACGCCGTTATGTGTTTGTCACAGGTCGGCTCAGTAGATCGGGAAGTGAGCAGTCTCATTGTCACAGGTCGACTAGAACTATGAGGATGAGTGAAAAGCACTCACCTCATAGTTCTCCTTTAAGTAAAAAAAAAAAACAGTTATAAAAAATATTAAATAAAATACATGTAAAATTAATGTTAAAATGTTGTCGCCGTTTCACAGATGCACACAGTTTGTAACCTGGGCATGTTGGGTATCTATTTACTCATCGTTACCTCATCTTTTATATTTTATTTTAAAAAAAATAGTATTATATTGTGGTTTGTGGCACTAAATTTAACTTAAGTGCATTTTTTACTAAATATTTGGGTTTGATAAAGAGTTGCGCTAATATCGTGCAACATAAAAATTGGCAACTGCTGCCATTTAATTCTACAGGAACTTGGCTTTCAGAAAATATATAATGCTTGGGGGTTTGAGGTAATTTTAAGGCCTAAAATGTGGATTAAAACGTGTGCAAAAAATGAAAAAAAGGCCTTGGCAGCCAAATGATCCTTAAGGGGTTAAACCCTCTAGCTCAAATCTGAGATATAAAAAGAATGGTATGTGTTCATACCTGAAGAGTTCCAACTTGTAATCTGTAGTAAAAATCTGCAGCTGTTGGTGTTGACAAAACAATTATTCTTCGTTTTTCATAAAACTGATCCAGAAATTCAACTGCGTTTCTCAGCCCAACATTGATTTTCATAACTAGATATAGGAAAGAAAATAATTAAAGTCATATTTGATTGAGAGGGATTAGTAATAAAAACTGGTGAAAATGGTATGCTATAGAACTGGGAAATGGTCAATTGTCTTTGGGTAATTTGAAACCTTTGTAGTTGATGAACCGTGAAGAATCAATGACCCAGTATGGATATTCACAACTGGTCACTCTTCTTTTCCCAAGATCAGACCGGTACTAAGGGTTCATGTACCAGATATAAACAGGCACACTTGGCCATCATCCTTTAAAGAATCATTGGCCATCAGCACTCTTCGTCACCATCGCGTGTGTGTGGATACTATTAGCCAATTACATCAATTCATAAGCTTATTAAATACTAGTAGATGTTCTGACATAATAATCATCCTAGCTACTAGATCAATTATTTTACAACAATAATAGTTGCATGTACACAAGTTTGGCTAAACTGTATGCATAGGCAGAACTTTATGTTTAGGTTTTCTTTACTTAAGTTTTATTGTTTTTTTCCATTAATAGAGAGTACATTGATAATGAATGTGAACGTACAAACAAAACATCATAACAATACCTAGGTGCAGAGATATCCAATGTTTTAGGCATAGCATCTATTCAGGGGGTATAGGAAGAAATAAAAAAGTAAGGGAGTGTGGGAGGGAGAAGTATGGGTATGTATTTGTGTTGGTGGTAGAGGGTCCTCACATCATGGTTCAGTAAGGAGTAAGGCTTGGGTGGTGCTGTGGCTATACGGTTGGGAAGAGGTGGTGGGAATATAGAGAGGGGAGTGCAAAGTGTAAAATAGAAAGAAAATGGAAAGAAAAGAAGACAAAGAAAAATACAGGGGGTTAAATAAGTTGTGTACGTGCACTTTAGGGGGTGGAGGAACAGGGATTTGGAGAAGGTGTCATCTCCCCCTATCCTCCATCTCACTAAAGTCAACAGCACGCCTAGATAAAGAGTATGTTGCTTGGGGTTGAAGGACAAATATAATCTAACAATCTTGCTATGCTTGTCAAGTAAGGAGGTGATAATGTTTCATTAATAGGTGTATCATTAAGTATCATTAAGTCTGGGTGTTACCTCAGGAAAACTAAGGTTGTGAGTTGTTCAGGCTTTGGCTATAGTCATTTTGGTAGCATTTAAATATTTTTAGTTTTAAGATTAGATAAGGGAATAGTTAGAACCCTTGTTAGGGGTCATAGACACAAGCAATATATGAGCTATAATGGATATAGAATATATGCTCGGATATTAAGGGGCACGTTTACAGGGCAACAATGAACCCTTTACAATTTTGAAAGGTACAAACAAGTTGTTTTGTCTTGCGATCGTTAACAAGCAGCTGCTGTCACTGTGCATATTACTGAAATGCATTGTGAATGAAGGAGAACAAGCTGATTGATTCAATAGCTGCACTTCACAGTTAATCCTATGAGCCACTGGAGGATAAAGCACGACTACCCTTGTCAACAGCCCAGGGGAAATTGAGAATAATAAGATAGCATATCCTATAGTTACACTAACAAGCTACATATTGCGGCTGTTATTTGCATTATACTCTTATGGAATGTTAACAACAATTTAAATAACGCAACCTCTAGGAAAAGATGTTTCTATGGAGGCCACATATCAAATGTTTACTGAACAAATTATATAATAAATCTGCCCCTTTGCTGTCATTATAAAAGGTTGCCCTATATTCTTAAAATAATAATAATAAAGAGATGACCTAGCTTTACTGAATGATCTCTGATGTATTTATCTCTACAGCTAATCTTTCCATTAAGTCAGATACTTAACTAGCTATCACAGATGTCAGAAATATCACATATAACAAAGCATTTTGGATCCTGTGTCGATAAGAACAGTTCTACAGGCACATAACAGTATAGAGCTAAAAATTTACCATTCGTTTATTTAGCACAACCAGACCCAGAACTGAAACCTGCTGAGAACATTTCTAGCCATTATACAGCAGCAGCTGTTTCCATAAGATCCTTAAATAAGTCTTAAAAAAGAAACAAATTAGCATAAAAGGGATGAGCGCACTACAGCTGGGTGAAAAAACTAGAAAGAATGCGCATGGGATGTGAGCCACAGTGTGCAAACTCTTTTAAAACAGAGAGAGGAGCCCTGTGACCAAACGACCAAACAACATACATACAATAAGAGCGCTACTACTGTGAAATTGAAAGTGGCTCACAGGTTAGATGTAGAGATGGGAAGTTTGGATCTTTTAAATGAATCGATTCGTTTGAATCAGTTCATTCAAAAGAACCGATTCATGAATCGAATCTTCGGTTCACTTGCTGAGTCAACTGACAAGCTGTCTGAACCTTCATAGAAGATCTGAATCCGAGGACTCTGATTCAGAGAAGGGTGTCAGGCAGCTCCTGGGGTACATTGATCCTAACGCTATCAATACATTTAAGTGAAACAATGTTAAATGAAAAATAATAAAATAAATAAAAACTAAAACCAAAAATTGTTTATTTAAAAAAACTATTTTTTTTCTTAAATGTGTAATTATCTGCCCCACTGTAGAGGTAATGGTTGTCGGAACTTAACAAATCCAAGTATCCAGGGGTGTGAAAAACTCAGGACTGGAGGGGTAAATAATATATTTAAAAAGGAGGTTTAAATGTATTTTTGTGTTATTAAAAAAAATACAGCTCTTTTATTTTATTATATAGCTACTGAATGAGATAGATGTGTCAGGAGGGATGCCTGTACCTTTAACATATATATATATAGATAGCTATAGATAGATATAGAATATTAAATAGAAGGACTAAGATGTGATCTGTACCAAAGGACCAATCCTATGAAAGGCAACTTGTCCCCAGTAAAAAGGAGCACTTGGGCAGGCAGCAACTCATGGAAAAGGAACCAAGTCTACCCATGTACAAATGAATGTTGTAATCTCATTGTGAGAACAGCTACAAATGTTTACAATGTCTGGTCATAAAGCAATGAGAAGAGCTCCAGAGTCAAGGCAGCTTTACAACTGCTATCAAGTGGCACCAACTTACCTACTTTTGCCAATGCAGCACAAATGTAAACAGTAAAAATGGTTCCAGCATTTCACAGACCTTAATGTATTCACTTTATTAAGAACATGAACAGTGTGATTACCACAAATATAATTTTCCCCCCAGGAAGCAAACAAGCATCTTTCTGGCTGCAGAATGTTGACTTTTCTAAAGCTTTGGGATTTGTTTGTACAACTTTTGGGTCACAAGTCAAAGGATTGATATAAGCGCTGTTAGCTTTGCTCCTGGGATCAGCCTAATGGTAATGATGTGGGAATATATTGAACCAACAGACATGGATAGTGACAGGCATGAATGAACTGAAGTTATCTGTTGGAGAACAAACGTTCATAAATTGACTGCACAAACGTCTTTCAACTAAGGAAGAGTTCTCAAAGAAACTGATTTTTTTTGTGAATGTTTTGTGTATTTATTGTAAAAACAAATAAAAAGAATTTCAAGAGAAACTGATTTTTCATTTTTGGGGCTTACTACATCACTAAGGGATTCAATTGCAACTATTTATTTCTCAATCCTTCCCACAAGACCACAGTAATGGTTTTACTCTCCTACAAGGCATCTCTTTCATATTAATACACTACATGTTATAATAGTCCATCTGGGACTGTGACACCATCATTTGGCTTTATAATGGTCCTGGCAATTGGGCAAAACTGGGAACTCTGATAAGGCTTTCTCATCACTTGATTACCTGAGACATTATATAAGCAAGCATGTGATTCAACTTGAAACAGTTACCCAAGAAGGAAGTATTGCATTTTTTGTTGGGTGGAGGGATTAAAAAAACATAACTGATTTGTTCCAAAAGGAATGATAATGATGGCATCAAAGTGAAACCCTACTATATTACACATGCATAAGCAGAGGCCACCTAATTACCAGCATAATAAGATGCAAAGATTTAGTATGTGTAAACAGCTCATGATTTCTCGAAAAGTCAGATTGCCCCAAGTCAGTAATTTTTTAATTGAAATATTGATATTAGCTTGGAGGCTCATGTGGGGCAGAGACTGATGACAGTTAGTTATTCTGTTAAAGGGTTTAAGAAAATGTTGGTTCTTTCTAAATAAGTAAACAGTATTGTCTAGTGATACAGTACTGTTGGTCACTGCACAACTTGGAATTTTTATACTTACAGGAGCATGTTGGCTCGGAACCTGTCCACTCTGAATTGAACTGGCACACGCGAGCTGGGCTCCCTTGGAGTTCATAACCACCAACGCAAAAATATTCACAGGTTGCACCATAGTTATCGCCAGCTCCAGAGCATTTGATGTACCCATTCTCAGGGGCATTCAGTTTAGCACAGCGCCTGACTTGGGAGAAAGATAAGCAAATTATATAGTAAGTAACAGTACTGGCAATCAATCAAATGTCTGTACACATATACAGAACCTGGAATATTACACAGCTAGAAGCATCAGGTTCCCATGTGTTACAGAGGAGGAAATCACCTATGTATAAGCATTTTGCCATGAGGTTAGAGCTTTATTATCTTTAGTTTTCCCAAGCCTCTAAAACATTTTAATTAATAATATATGATTTTATTCATATTTTCATATCTACATACACGTTTACTATCTCTATAGGACATTAAGCACCTCCCTGTATACGGATGTGTCTATTGCCATACCATATTGCAAGACCCTAAGGGTATTTGGGGTGTGAAATTGTTTACTGAACTGATATTATTTATTGTCATTAAAGGTATTCAAATGCCCTTAACTGTCTTATAATATATGCACCACTGTTACTATCTAATGAATAATCATAGTGTAGAACAAGTGACAGGTAAAATAGCTCTCTTACATTTTTTAATCATTAACTAATGTCTGCTTACAAAAACGGACTATTCCCATGTTTACATACCTCTGACACGCACATTAAATTTACATGATGCTTTGTTCTCTGCTCTGTCATACACAGTGTATTGGATTCTGTGTTCTCCCTCTGGGAAATCTGACCCCGATGGCAGGCCTTTTAATGCCACACTGTAAGAAAAGAGTCAGCATAATCAACTTGTCTATCCTATTAATATACTGTATAACACAAGTGCAATGAAAAACTGCAGGCTGTGAAGCAGTAATGATATTATCTTGTTCTTAAAAGAATTTCTGTCTGTAAGAAAAATTTACTGGCTTCATTTAGTCATTTAAAGGGTAAAACACATTTATAGGGTAAAACCTCTGCTCACAAATTTTCTCATTTGTGAGCAGAGGTTACTTTATGGAGAGGTATGAAGATCTCATTTGTGGATTACCATATCACAAAACCCTGGGGAACATATATGAAAGTGTACAGTATACTTATGTATCCCCCACCTTGCTCCACCATGATACACATATGGGTTAACTGCTCTGGCTGGTAGGGCTGTGTTTACACTAAGGCACTTGTGGACCGGTGCCTAGGTCAGCATGATTAGATGGGCAGCATCAAAATGTGGAATTTGTGAGAACTTGAGCCTAATTTTGCTTCCCTCTCGGGGCGCCTCTGTACATTTATGACTTAATTCAGCAAAACCATTATAAGAGAAAAGAGGAGCAAAGTTTATTCATGAGGTCAGAAGCCTACTATAGTTCAAGAAACATGAAACCAACTCTTATTTTATGTTTGCAGGCCTGTATAGTTAAAAAGTAGCTGCCAATATAAAAAGAACAGCATGCTGCCTCTAACAACATGTTTAAGCATTCGTTTTTATTAAAATCATCATATGGCACAAGGGGTGTCAGTTATACAAATACATTTTTGGAATCAAGTGCTCCTAGAGCAGCATAATGTCTAAAAGCAATAACAACATTTGGTAAGCTATACACCTAGTAAAAATAAATGTAAGTCCCAAGTAATTAATTATTAGAACCCTACTGAATCCTCTTTGCAGGTTTACCTTCAAAAGAAATCACATTTCTATAGTCGGGGCTATGAGAGCTATCAGGTTGGTTCTTATAGATTACTGTGCTCTGTACACCATGTGGCACTTCAATTGGGCTTGTCATAGTTGGAAGCAGTTACTTGATTTCCCTGAGGGTTAAATTTACTCGGAGATAAAAGTGATGTTACAAATACTATGGATGAGTCCAAATTCTATTAAATAGGAGGGAACAAAAAATCAAAACTGTTGGCTAGATGGCCAAAATCTGATCTGAAATAGAATGGAGTGCCAGCCTGTGGTTCTAGAACCCAAACTGGTTTCACAATACAATTTAGGGGATGACCAGGTTACCTTTTAAATTGTTAATTCACTGTACTAGCTGTTACTCAGAACTATACCTTTAAATCAGCGGTTCTCAACGTGGGGGTCGAATGACTATCGGGAAAGGTCTGCTCCGCTGGGTTTTTTTTTTTTTTTCTGACATCGGAGCCGCATGCGATCGTAAATCAGAGAAAAAAAACTAAACTTTCTCCCGGACAGGTTCGCTATGCTCGATGGAGCATCGAGCATAGCAAACCTTTCTCTGCTTTTTTTTTTTTCTGACATCGGGCCGCAAGCCGTAATCAGTGAGGGAAAAAAAAAATAAACAGGAACACAGCTAGATTCCTATTGGCTATTTCACTTTGCAATAGCCAATAGCAAACTAGCTATAGAGCCCGCCCTCTGCTGCTGCCAATTAGCAGAGGGGGACCTGAAATTAAGGTCCAGTTCTAATGATAGCATTCCTATGGTGGTTTTTATTCTGACGGCGTACATATCTGCTCAGGTAGGCCTGCACTCTCTCACCCCCCGCCCCTCTTCCCCCCACATGGTGCTGCTTTAATGTATTGCTGGGGTAGTCGGTAGTGGGATTTGTAGTCCTCTCTAGCTGCTAGTACATTGTGCTGTACCATCAGCTATAAAGGACTACAAATCCCAGCAATACATTATACACTGTACATTTGTTGTATTCCTCTGTAGCTGGCGTTATTCTGCGTTGCGCCGTATAATCATTATACAGCACACTGCAGAATACCAGCAGCTGTAGAAGACTACAACTCCCAGCAATAATAAATTATACGTCGCAATGGAGAATAACGCCAGCTACAGAGGACTACAAATCCCAGCAATAGTACATTATAGTACAATGTACTATTGCTGCGATTTTCTGTATTCCTCTGTAGCTGGCGTTATTCTGCGTTGCACCGTATAATCATTATACAGCAAACTGCAGAATAACAGCAGCTATATAGGACTACAAATCCCAGCAATAATAAAATATACGGCGCAATGGAGAATACCAGTAGTTACAGAGGACTACAAATCCCAGCAATAGTACATTATAGTATAATGTACTATTGCTGCGATTTGCTGTAGTCTTCTATAGCTGGCATTATTCTGCGTTGCGCCGTATAATCATTATACAGCAAACTGCAGAATAACAGCAGCTATATAGGACTACAAATCCCAGCAATAATAAATTATACGTCGCAATGGAGAATAACGCCAGCTACAGAGGACTACAAATCCCAGCAATAGTACCATATAGTATAATGTACTATTGCTGCGATTTTCTGTATTCCTCTGTAGCTGGCGTTATTCTGCGTTGCAAATACTTTTACAGATGTAAATGTTTTATTTGTGTTTGCATGTTAAAATATGTGTACATGGAAGTGCTCTAACTACTACCTGCTTTTTTTATGCAGTCTGCCAGCAAGTTCCTGCACAGATATTGAAATTGTATTACACCCCTGTACAGGAGCGTTTAGATAGAAAAGGGAAGAGGTAAAACCCCTATTTAGTTTTTTTTGCTGTTGCCTGTATTCTGATGGGGAAATTTCCGTTTATTTCCTGTAGTGAAGATGCAACAGGAAATTAAAGAATACCGTATATCTTCAAACTAAAAGCTAAACTTCACGACACAATTCACAAATTCGAAAAAGTTTGGGATCCATGGATCCGGAAATGTCTCCTGCCCCACTTCGATACCGACTTAATAACGTCTTGAGACGTTACCACTTCTTTAGACCACCCACTATTGTAACCTTTTACGGATAACATATCTCTGAACCTGAGCTCCCCCCTAACCTTTCCCTCCTTCTCTCCCCTTCTGGATTTTTCAGTTCTCCTTTCACTTCTCATTTTCTAATCCGAATATAGTGGTTTCTTTCTTACGAGATCCGGGACATGGTTGATATTTTATGGTTTGAGAAATCGGATAGGTCCTTTATGTGCACTTGATTGATGCTTCTCCTACCTATGACCTGTAGCTTGTAGCCCCACGCCATAATTGTTTAAGCCACTAACCCGATCTATTTATATCTTTTTAACTTTGGACCAACCACTACGACTTATTTTTTTTATTGCAACTTTGTATTGTTCGGATTCTGTACTTCTGAAAATCTAATACAAATGAATATTGAAAATGAAAAAAAAAAAAAAAGACTGTATCTTCAAAGTGAATGGAATTCCCAACGTAGAGAGTTTTCATAGAAAATGGTGCCCCCATTGAAGGATTTTCTATCACTTTCTATCTCAGTGACCAGGGTCACCAGGACAAATGGAGAGGTGAATCTCTCCGGCGGGGACACTGAAAGCATTAAAAACCTCACAGAGGTTCTCACCCTTGCCTACTCTAGCCAAAATGACAAAAAATGCTATTAGATACACTTCAAGTGTCCTGATGGTGAGTAAATACAGATGATAGGGATAAGGTGTAGAGTTCTGTTACAGAGGTAGTATCATTGTATAATATGCTGTGCTTGACTTTTAATCCAACAGGAAAGCGGACATAAACTCTGCAAATTCACACTATGAGCCGTTAGATAATACATGCTTGTGGTAATCAGCATCCAAATCCTTCATGCCCTTCCCTTTTCTGAGATATTGTTGTCTTCAGTTTTGTGGCTCTATTTTTCAAAGATCCGTGCTAATGGAAATGATCCTTAAAGGAGAACTATGGGGTCAGTGTTTTTCCCCATAGTTCTCCTTTAATGTTAATTAAATCCAAGACTATCTGGTATAAATCTACGGTAAACCATACAATACACGCAATAGTTTATGAGCTTTAATCAGTGTTCTCATACAATTACTAGATTACTAGCACACACAAAGGTGGCTCAATAGAACCCTGCAAGGGAAAGGAACCACCCTAAAACAGGATATTAGGACCAGTGATCAGGTGATCAGCTGATTCTGCAGGAACCTTCAACTTTTAAACATCAAGGAGCAGCATCCATTGTAAGTGATTTTATTAGCATTTGAAAGAGCTTAAAAACCTTTTGACTTTAATATCACTTTAAATTTCGATGACGTTAGCCACAGTAATGACTTTTATTTCCCAATAAGCTTACTCTGTTAAAATTCCATCTGCTGTGTCCCGTCCCTCAGGAGTGTCCCAGAAAACTCTTGAAGTCAGTTTATTAGGCTCTGCAATTTTCTCCTTTACACTTGGACACTGAATCCTTGGTGGCTCTAAATCTGAAAAGACATCACAGAAATGTCACATAACACGAGATATGCATGCCAATGAATATCTAATCATTAGAGAGGAAGCTGAAGAATGATAACTCGTCAATGGCCTATTTAGAAACACAATGCAAATAGCAAGTATGTGCAGTTCCCCATAGCAACCAGTCACAAATTAGCTCGCAAGAGCATGCATTTTTCACCAGCTAAAGACTCATTTCTGATTGGTCTCTATTGGTTTGCATACACCATCATTATTTGCAGGATGCTGTTAAATAGTTTCAATGTTTAGCTAAATGTCGTACATGAAATAAATGTACCCTTTCTGGATAACCACAAAGCAATGAAGCAATATCTGTGTAACAGTAAGTGTAAGAGCAATCCTAACCTTTCCAGTTGTAACATTGTTCTCCCTGAAGAAGCCCCTGAAATGTCATCATTCTGTAATGGTTGGGCCATTCTATTCCAGTGCTTAGAAAGAAAATGTTGATACATTGAGGTTGGTTTACTAAATGTAAGTAGGATGCTCACTTTGCAAGGGTATTGTCCTTAACTTAGTGAATGTGGTGGAAATTCACTTTGCAAAGAATACCCAATTAATAACCCAAAATAAATGAAAATAATGAATTTTTGCTTGCACATGACTGGATGTTACAAGTCAGCGGAGCTTCACGTCATTTATTAGCTAAGGGACCATTTTGCCCATTTGCCTAGTAAGTCAACCCCATAATGTCCAATATGGTATATTTTGAAACCCAACTCTAGTCTCACCATTTAATTAAAACATTTTTTTTTAGATTTCTCTAATAATTCAGTGAAGCCTGGTGTGTCATTTACTCTGTCAGTACTCCACATAGAATGCTTTAAAAATTCCATTCAGCCTATTGCTTCAGGGTAAGTTTAGGGCTGGATGACAATAGCAGTCATCCAGCCCCATCATCAGTGTTCTGACAGAAACACCCTTGGTTGTCCTCTGGACTACATTGGTAAGATAGCCTGTGTCCATATGATACTGATATAACCAGCTGATTGGGCAGTGATATGGGAGCATACAACTCAATCTTTTATCGCTGCAGTTTCAAGTAGAATAGTATCTCAACAGTGCCAGTGCTGTAATACCACAGTACTGGCACTGATACCATACTGTCATGAGTGATCCTGCAACTACGCAAGGTGGAGTTTTATGCTCCTCATTCATCATCTAATAAGCTGCCCACAGCCATGCCCACATGCCTGCACACCATTCACATATCTAGTTACTCCCAAGAGTGCCCAGATGCCTTATGGGAGCTGTAGTCAGAGAGGGCTCACCTACGTCAACAGGAAAACTGAAGGGCACCTTGCTGACTCATTCTACTCTGGACCACAAGCATGGAAGCCAATGAGACCCTGTGATGACATCAAAGAGTCAGAAAAAGTATTTTATTTTGTAAATTCAGGAAATTCTTTTTGATTTGCTACTAGGGATACAGAGTGAGGTTTGGGGATATATATATTGCTTGTCTGGAGTTGGGCTTTAAAGTGACATTAAAGGATAATTGTTTCCCCTCCCCCCATGTTAATGTCAGCACTTACCTTAAATGATGTCTCTTAATCCGATCTTCCTCTTCTTTCCTGTTGCTTTCATCTGTCCCTCCAGCGGTGCGGCAGCTCTCCGATCCAGCGCTGACTCCTCTCTGCTTGCAGGCACTTCCGATCCAGCGGTGTCTGCAGGCGTGTGCACGCGTCCATAGACTTACCTTGCATCTCTGCTCGTCTGCCGGCCGAGAATCCGAACTGTGCATGCGCCCGCCCCAAGATGCTTTGTGGCCGCCAGAGCAGTAATAGTGATCAATCCCATATGATTGTGCAATGCTTCAATTATGTGTGATTGATTGCTACAGTATGTGACTACAAGCTACTTGTGCAGCTTAAGCTGGTGATACACTGAGCGATTTTCACTCCGTGGGTGGCTCTGTCAGCAGCCTCCTGTCCGACATTCTTTAATCAGAAAATAGTCAATCAGCTGCAGTCATTGTTAAGGTGCCCTTACACCTTACAATTATCTGCCGATTTTCGGCCACAACTGCGTCTGCGGCCGAATATCTGCCAGTTGATGGGATGTGCACAACCGTACAACTGGCAGATTTTCGTCTTTCAAGCAGGCTAGAAAATTTGTATCTAGTAGCCACAACTGCCAGAATAATTGTTCAGGATACAAAGAAAAACCCACAGGTAATCTCTGGAGGAATACAGGCTGCTCTGGAAAAAGATGGTGTGGTTGGTTCAAGGAGCACAATGCGACGATACTTAAACAAAAATGAGCTACATGGTCGAGTTGCCAGAAAGAAGCCTTTACTGAGCCAATGCCACAAAAAAGCCCAGTTACAATATGCCCGACAACACCTTGGCATGCCTCACAGCTTCCGGCACACTGTAATTTGGAGTGACGAGACCAAAATAGAACATTATGGTCACAGCCATAAGCGCCATGTTAGGAGAGGGGTCAACGAAGCCTATAGCGACAAGAATACCATCGCCACTGTGAAGCATGGTGGTGGCTCATGGTGGTGATGTTTTAGGGGGGCGTGAGCTCTAATGGCACGGGGAATCTTGTGAAAATTGATGGCAAGATGAATGCAGCATGTTATCAGAAAATACTGGCAGACAATTTGCATTCTTCTGCACGAAATCTGCGCATGGGACGCTCTTGGACTTTGCAGCACGACAATGACCCTAAGCACAAGGCCAAGTTGACCCTCCAGTGGTTACAACAGAAAAAGGTGAAGGTTCTGGAGTGGCCACCACAGTCTCCTGACCGTAATATCATTGAGCCACTATGGGGAGATCTCAGACGTGCAGTTCATGCAAGACGACCAAAGACTTTGCATGACTTAGAGGCATTTTGCCAAAAGGAATGGGCAGCTATACCACCTGCAAGAATACAGGGCCTCATAGATAACTATTACAAAAGACTGCACGCTGTCATTGATGCTACAGGGGGAACAATATGAATTTTGCTTGCTCACTCATGTTTTCTTTAAAAATGGTACATATATTACCAAAAGGTGCACCAAAATGACATTTTGAAAACTGAAACGAAACCGAAAATTAAACAAATGTCAGGCCGAAACCGAAAAAAACATTTCTAACCTTTTAAAAAAATGTTTACATTATTTTATTTTTATTCAATATTCAACTTTTTTTACTTTACTATTGGGAGCTTTGGGGCAATATTAGGGGTCTAAACAAACCGCTGATATTTCCGTTTTAAAATAGAAAAAGAGATTGAGAACACAAAGTCCTCAATCTTTTTCTGCAGCCCATGTTATCAATGAACAGAAATCTTCTATGCTGAGTGTTCCTGTTCATTCATAACTTCTGAAGATAGTATGTAGTATGTTTACCATGTCCACAATCATGAATTAATCTAGATCACTTCCAATTCATTCATAATTGGAGACACAGTAAACATAATATTTCCTCAATTATTTACAAACACACAGCGATCACTGATCGCTGAGTGCTTGTACCCGCTTTCCATCCTGACTCGCTGTCACAGGAGGCTGAGCGTGCGGTACGGGGAGGAGAGCTCGATCTCTTCTGACAGCTGACTCCTCCCCCGCACCTCTGGCCTGGCCTTCTGTGACAGCTGTCTCCGCCTTCACACTGCTCTCCTAATCTGTCACAGGAGGCTGAGTGGTGCGGGAGGGGAGACGTCGGCCGTTCACATCACTCTCCTCCCCCACACCGCTCGGCCTCCTCTTTCCTCCCCACTGAGACACAGTGCAGCGCCCAGCAGGGAGGAGAGAAACAAAGGGATGCACCACTATTTCCGCAGACAGATAGCAGATAGATAGATAGATACTGTATATATGTATGCATTAAACTCAAATTTGTAGCTCTCGCTGTACACTTATAATTGGTGCACAATATACTGTGCATAGAGGCATTTTTTTACCAAAGGACCACGGAAGAATATTTCCCTCAACAAATAAATTATGTTTTAATCTTTAATTGGGATTTTTAAACCAAGAGCACACAGAAACCATCGATCAGCAGCTCTATCAGTGTGCTCTATACAGTGCAGTACCCTAATCATAGATCGTTTTTTGGCTAAATTATTAAATAGTACAATATGAAAGTCATCATTTTAACTAGACTAGAGGGGGAAATATCACATACACAAACTTCATTTTTGCAGCTGCATTTTATGACAAAGATGAGCAGCTGATGTTGTTTCAGAGCAAACCAATGTGTATACTACCATCTAGTGGTGTCTCTTTAGTAATACAAGTCAGCGTTGATTTTCTCTTCTTTTTAGCTAAAAAAAGAGGCATTAGCCGGGATTAATTAGCAATGCAAAGCAATGGATAAGGTACAAAAGCCCATAGCAACTAATCAGAAATGATCTTCCACTGATCTGACTGCAGTATTTTCAAATATAATTGGATGTCATTAGGTTATTGACCCTTGGATACCATCACTAATATTTTCTGACCCTTTCGGTGCAGAAATTAAATAAATACCTAGAGCTGTAAATGTTACTCTAGCTTACAAAAGGGATGTCTGTAAAGGTTCTCATTCATCCAGGTCATGGTATATCTGTAAAGAATAGATCAAGGCAACTGGACTTGCTGTATTTTTCTTGAAGACATTTCGCTGGTCATTCGACCAGCTTTCTCAATTCAGAATAACTTATACAAAAACAATATAATAACACTTGCTAGCTCCAATTATGCAAATACAAGCAACACCTTACCTCCATTAGGTCTCTGACAACATGCTGGTTATTTTATGATTGGAGCAACATTCACCATATTTATTCCCAGAGAATTTTTGTTTAAGTCATTCTGAATTGAGAAAGCTGGTTGGATGACCAGTGAAACGTCTTCAAGAAAAATACAGCAAGTCCAGTTGCCTTGACTTAATGTTTACAGATTTGCAAAAGGGATGATTTACTAAATAAGTAGTGGCTATTCACCTGAACTTTGCAGAGTGTATGTTCACTTGGAATAGTATTTGCTAGTAAATATGGTGATCCTATGATCATTTTTAATACTCAATTACGTGCAAAGGAAATAAAAAGTATATTTGCTAGCAAATGATTGGTTGATAGAAGCGAGCACAGCTTCATCATATTTGCTAAGCTTTTGGAATATTCACTATGCAGGTAAGGATTCATTTTGCAAAGTAAACAGTCTCTATTGCTTTATTAGATGGACCCCAAAATCAGTCAGTTCCCATTACCGTATTATGGAATGGTAAAGCTGCTCTCAATTCAGGAGCAGTGAAGTTTCATTGTCACACCATTGCAGGAAGCTGTATTAGGTGGACTAAGAGAATTGTAAGAACCAAAGAGTCTTCAAACTACGTACATAGGCAGCCTAAATCAATTGGAGGCAACCCAAGGGCACCACAAGAGATGGAAACCCATGGGTGCTCTAAAATGTAAATACCTGAGAACTGAATCTCCCAACTGGATTCTCAATGTGCATAGAATCCTCCCAATTTAAAGTAAACTTTAGTGTATTAAAAATTACTAGCAGAAAGGTATTTATTGCAGAAGTGACTCTGTGAGGTTGATTTACTGAAGGAATAAAGCATCACTTTGGAGCCAAATGTTCATTTGCAAATCGAATTTTCCCTTAGCTTAGTGAATATGGTATAAATTCACTTTGCAAAACATATCAAATTACATCTAAGGGAAATAAAAGCGCTCCCTCCTGCCTCTCTTCTTCTACTCTGCTGCAATGGTATATCCTTCAGTGTCCTCACACCTATACACTGTGTATTACGTGAATTCTTACGTGAGTTCTCCTTTAAGTCATCCTGGGGCAGCCAATTAAGATGGCAGAAGACACCAAACTCAGAAGAAGACACAGAGAACATGTTAGTGGCGATAAGGGAACTTGCGGACACCCCATCAATGGAGGAGAAAAAATGCAGCAGACTTTAGTTCTACTCTAGCTTTCAAAAGAGATGATTTACTAAAGGAGTACTAGCCGGTTACTTAGCACAGTGAATGCTAGTACATAAGGTGAAACTTTGTTCACTTTAAATACTCAATCGTGTGAAAGGGAAATCTAGCTAGCAAATGATTGGTTGATTTAAGTGATCACAACTTCATTATATTTGCTAAGCTAAGGGAATATTGACTTTGCAAACTAACGATTCACTTTGCAAAGTAACCTTTCTCTATTGCTTTAATAAATCTAACCCAAAATCAGTCAGCTTCCATAACAACTAGGAAATTGTATATTATTTTATAACTGAGTCATTCCAAGGGAGTCTTTCAAGCAGACCAACGTCAGTGGCATAGTGTAAAATTTACACTCTTCAATATCTCGCCCGTTTATGCCACATGCTCTACCTACGTAGTTTGAATAAGCAAGTTCCGGTCTAAACTGTCCAAAGGGTTTTGCATTATAAAAAAACAGAATGCATACAATGACAGGCATGGATCAATAACTACGGTGCAGAAAGGAATGAGTGTCTAATCAAAATAAATTAGAGGCTTTTTACAAGGAAAAACATTTTGAAAGAAAATGTTTTCCAACAGCCAAACAAAATCCAGCCTGCATTTTTTTTTTAAGTGGATATTTCCAGAATCTATATAGCTGCCTTGGGCAACACAAAGGGGGTTATTCACAAAGCTATCAAAGGCAGCCGAGTGAATAACCGATCCGTAGTGAAGTGAGTCGAACAATGTTTGTTTCTAACAAAACAAAAATGATTGTGTGTAAGCTCTGCATGTTTGGCTGAGCAGAAGTGCAGAAGGACTTCGACACAACCGATCCAAAATCTGGATCGGCTGAGCCGAATCTCCGGCAGCTCACTCGCTGCCGTTCGCCCAATTCAGATATGGGCCGAACGGCAGTGAGTGAATAGATAAATGCCGCTAAGCGGCATTCGGCTCGGCTATTCTTTCGGTACCTCCGTGGTACCGAGCAGAATAACAAATAGTGAAAAAAGCTGAAAAATTTAAAAATGTTGACAAATATTTAGTAAAATTTAATCAAATATTACATTTAGAAAAATAAAGAAGAATTTTAAAAAAAACAAAAAAAAACAATTGGGCAGAGCTAGCAGTGACAGCTACCTCCACCCAACTCTTTCCTATTGCCCGGCACCTGCTAGAGTCTTCTAGCAGGTCCCGGCTATTGAATAACAACTGGGCGGAGGTGGCCCTGACGTCACAGCCGGCTCTGCCAAGTTGTTAATTGTTTAATGACAGATCAGCGTCCCCAGATCATTTGGGGATGCTGATCTGTCATTACAACTGGGCGAAGCCAGCCATGAGATCACGGCTGGCTCTGCCCAGCTGTCATTTGCGGGGCTTACGGCTGGCCCTTCGGCAGGCTGTTCGCCCCACTTCGGGTGTCACTTCGGCTCAGTCTAGCTGAAGCATATGCCTCTGGCTCGGCTGAGCTGCTTGGCCGCCTCCGGCTGCTGTATGGGCTGTAGTGGCTGAAGAAAGCCGAAGGATCAGCCGAAGCTACGGCTGGATCCTTCGGCTCCTTTGTGAATTACCCCCATAGTGTTTGCACTTATGTTCATAAGTTCTCTTTGTTTTGTTGTGTTTTCTTATACGATTTCTAACAAAACAAAAATAAATGTGTATAAACTCTCATTTACATGTTATATAGTTTCCAGAAGTGCCAAGCTAACTGATACAGTAAATAATTATGAATGCTATCACAACATTAACTACTGACTTATTACTACACTTTCCAATATCCAGAGCCCACACTGGAAACATAAAAGAAGACATAGTGGTAGTTTGACTATATACATTTTAATAGATGATGATTTCTCTTTCCTGTAAATTACTGAAGACTGAAGAGGAAGAAGCAGTTAAACTTGAACATGCTCACAATTCACTGAAGGATCATAAATCTCTCAGGAAATGACCTTGCAGGCTCTGACTAACACAGTACATTATAGAAGATATGCTGTCTACCACGTCCTGCAAATTATCTGCCACTGAACACTTGACTTGACTATACCTGCACATTAACGGATATAACATTCTATCCTGGAGGCTTCCTTGAACTTTCAATGGCCTTCAAAAATGTGTCTCCTTGCTCTGTGCTTCGATTGAAAAGACATGCTTGAAGAATGTTTGTGTATTAGAAAAACATGTTCCCCATGGTGCCTGTGTGTGTTGTAAAAAAGTCACCGCTCCAAACTCACTACCATGATGGACTACAATCTCAATACAAATTAGTAAACTAAACATGAGATTGTAGTCCATCCCGGGAATGAGCTTGGAGGGGTGGCTACTTTACAACACACAGGGACAATGGGAAACAAAAGTAGCCACCCTCCAGAAGGTGTCAGTGTCAGCATTAATTCAGAGATGATTTGAGGATCTACAGATAAGTGATACACAAATAAGATACAATTTTGTTAATAGTTAAGGTACATTAATGCAATTTTAAGATTTAACCCCTGTGTTTAGTGTCACTTTAACACACATCACAGAAAATAACAGATCTTTCCTCTTATTAATTTATAAAAAAGTTTGTGACCTGAGTTCAACTTGTAGCTCTCTATTAATGAATGAATATTTCATTAAGTATATTCTGTAATGCAAGAGTGTAAACACCTGAATTTGAACAGGGATCATGCTAATAGAATGAGAGAGCAGATTGAGATTTGTCTGCTGGTTTTTATTTCATTGTCCAGTCACAGTTACTTGCATCAGGGAAAAATTAGGTTCAGGTGTCAGGCACGTGCTGACAAATCCTTTGGCAAGTAAAAACTGTTGCATTCCTGATTTCTCGTGCATATATAGTGACAGATTTATTATCCTAGTTTATGTTTCATTCCCAAAATTCCTTCATAAGGATACAAATTGCCCCTAAATTGTCTGTTTCTAAATTCTCTAATTTGTTTGTCTCTAAATTGTCTCTTTCTCTAAATTGTATCTAAAGTGTCTGTCTCTAAATTGTCTCTATCTTTAAATTGTCTCCGCCTCTAGATTGTCTCTTTTTTTTAAACTGTCTGTAAATTGTCTTTGTCTCTAAAGTGTCTGTCTCTCATTTGTTTTTAAATTGTCTCTGTCTCTAAATTTTCTCTAATTTGTCCGTCTCTTAATTGTCTCTATCTCTAGATTGTCTATAAATTTTATTTGTCTCTAAATTGTCTCTCTCTCTCTAAATTGTCTCTAATTCAATTGTCTCTGTGTCTAAATTGTCTCTGTCTCTAAATTATCTCTGAGTCTAAATTGTCTCTTCTTTTAAATTCTCAAAATTGTCACAACTTCGCTGGAAACATCCTGGAGGACGGATGAATAGCCATGAGGGGCTAAAATGACTTGAGGGTATGCAGTTGAAATATCTTTGCAATACTTTAAGAAGTGCTTAAGAGGACTTCTAGACTATGCGACAGTTTGGATGTCTTATGTCGCAAATGTTGGGTACAATTACTGTGCAGTTTAATTATGCAAAATGTTGCAAAACATGTGCAGTAAGTTGCAAACAACATGCCGCAAGAACACTTAAAAACAGCCGTATAACAGAGATAAAAGTTTGTGGTTAGCATGAGATTTTGGTCTTTGAGACTAAAAATGTTGTAACAAACACATTAATAAATTCCCCCTGTATGTATTTCATCTGCATAATTAGCTGTTTGCCTGAAGTTCAGTTTAAATAGTCTAAAATAAGAACTGTCTGTCTCGCCTTCAGTAACTAGATTCAAAGTATAAGTATCCAGCTGTCATTTTCCAGTTAAGTCTAGGATTTGGTTGCTTTTAGTGTGGCAAATATACATTCATATTGCAGAAATTGTGTTTATTAAAATTAAAAAAGTTCCACTCCTAAGACATTAGGCTACCTATGTAGGCATACATTCATATGTAGCATAGTTTCTCAGTCCTTCTCTAATACCATCACAGTACTTCCTCATTTATCATTGTGGGAATTATTTCTAACATACCTACACAAGTTGCTGCTCTCCCACTCCAGTTTTTGCTGTCCATGCAGGTTACAACTCTGTCGCCCTTCAGCTGGTAGCCAGGTGAGCAATAATATTCACATCTGGAGTTAAAATATGCCCCATCTGTACATTTAAACCCTCCATTTACTGGCATCGTGAGAGGTTGACATCTTTTTTCTAAACATAAACATAAAAAATATACATTTCATACATGCTTTCACAAAAGGAAATGGTCATAAGGCTACATGAAATTGATCATGGAACCCATATACCACAAGAATCTATATTCACTTATAAAGTCTAAACAGATACTAAATCCAGTTACTATGTTATGTTATAAGTCTCAAAAAGCAATCAAAACACTTAAATTACCGTCATGACTGAGCCACATCCTCCTTCATTTGTTTCAAAGTGCCAGCTTAAATTAGGTGTGGGCAACCCCAACAGCATCTAGAGCCCACAAGAGACCCAGACTGTGGGGGACATACCTGAGAATGACATGCAACTCCCAATAAATGCTTTTTCCCTGCTGGCTAGCAAGGTTCCTTAGTTTTATATACTAAGCCAAGCACGCAACAGCTCAGTGTACAAGCTGAGTGTACAATCTTGGCACTCCTTGGGTGCCAGGATGAATTACCTCTCATCCACATGCACCAGAGTTATGTTATTCCAGGATGGCCAATTAAGATGGCCAAAGACAATGAACTCGGAAAAACACAAAGAGTGCATGTCAATGGATAGATAAGTTTGCTTATGGACATCCCATCACTGGAGGGTGTTAGAAATACAACAGCCTATGCTAATATGCACTGACATTCAGAGATGTAACTATGTATTTTGAGCACTAGATGGCGCTGTGGTGCAATGCTACTCTATGCTAGTCTGTGTGCTAGTTTTCTATATGCATGTTTTATCTATGATATATACGATGTTCTATCAGTCTATATGTTTCCTTCTCTATGCTCTATAATGCTGTATTCTGATATAATGTTCTTCTAAGCAAGAAAAACCTAATTCAGAATTCCATAAGAACTCTGTGCTTCATCTAAACGCATAACCAACAGAGGGCAGGTAAGTGCAGCAGACTTAAGTTTCACTTTAGCTCAAAATTGATATTGCTGTTATTTGCTGTTTTAACCAGTTGACATCCGCGGTGTTAAACCCCCTTTCCATCCAGGCCATTTTTCAGTATTCAGCGCTGCGGTACTTTGACTGACATTTATTCCGTCATGCAACGCTGTACTGAAATGAATTTTATACCCTTTTTTGGGGACAGATAGAATTTAAAGAGGAACTTTACCCATATGAAATGACAACAAACACACCTTTAGAAATATTTAGTAATGACAATCTACAAACAGATACTTCTAGATAATTGCCGGCTTTTTATTCTATGTATACCTTATTTCTCTTTTCTTCCCCGGTCTTCTGACAATGGCCATTTTAACTAATAGCAGATTAATACATCTCCCTTCACTTCCTGGAACTCTGGCACATGTGACTAGGACATGTGACCACGCACATCATCTTAGGGGAGCAAAAGGCCTTTCCCTGAGATCTCGTGAGATTACAGATGAGATTTCCCAGCAATGCTCTGCTGATGTAATCTTCCCAGGATGCAATGCTTGGCCACATTACAACATTTGTGCAAAGTGGATCAGGAAGTGGAAAAGCCAGGAAGTGGGAAAAAAAGAAATTGTAAGTGAAATAGAAACAAGTTTGTTTAACTAATGAATGTAAGATGATTTCATATCAGCATGCAGAGCTGTATGCTGATGTGATTTTTGCTTAAAGGGGGTAAAGGTCCACTTTAACAAATAGTGAACTTTACTATAAATACATCATATTAGTTTTAAGTATTGGATAATGTAGGGAAGAGTTGAAAAACCCAGCCCAGGACAAAAAGAGAGGGTGAATCTCCCTAAGGTGGTCACAGACGGTCACAGATGTTCTAATCCCTCTCCAATGTATCCAAATTAAAAAACAAAACGTTTTGGCTTCGATTGCACTTTAAGTCAAACCTGCAATGAGAGAAATGTGGGGGCTGGTAGGCATTGTGACCTATTTAGGGGTAGAGGACTATGTTTCTCTCAGTACAGGCAGGGCCGGATTTTCCACAAGGCCAACCAAGGCCCGGCCTCGGGGCAGCAGGGAGTAGAGGGGCAGCAGGGGTGTGGAATTCCTATCCCCCAAAAACTGAATTTCCCAGGCGCTGGGCGGTTAGTTTTCTACATTTAGCCCTGCTTTGGACAAGCAGAGCTAAATGTAGAGTGGGGAAGCCGCCGCTCGATCTGTACAAGTGATAATAAAGTAAAAAAAGAAAAAAAATTAAATCAACCCTGCTGCCCTGCCATCTGGGAGTAAATTTGATGGGGAAGGGTGCACATTAACCAGTTGACATCCGCGGTGTTAAACCCCCTTCCCATCCAGGCCATTTTTCAGTATTCAGCGCTGCGGTACTTTAACTGACATTTATTCCGTCATGCAGCGCTGTACTGAAATGAATTTTATACCCTTTTTTGGGGACAGATAGAGCTTTCTTTTGGTGGTATTTATTCACCACTGGGGGTTTTATTTTTTTACTATATTAAGGAAAAATTACCGAAATTTAAAAAAAAAAACAGTTTCCCCTATATTAAATGATAAAACATTTATTATTACCCAATTTTTTGGTAAAATATAAAAGATGGGGTCACGTCGGGTAAAAAGACACTAAACATGTCAAGCCTTAAAATTGCGTGCGCGCGCGAAACCTCAAAAAACGATAATACCCAAAATTGGCCATAGGCGACGCTTTAAAAGCTGTTACCGCTCATCAGTTTAGTGTTATCAGTGATTGATGGCCCTAAAATGATTGCTCTCACTGCGACGTTCGCGGCGATATGTAACATGTGTAGCGCAATTGTAATTTTTGCGCGCTGGGGCACCGGACGCGTATTTACGTTTATAGGCGCGTAAACGTGGGGGTGGGGGAGTTAAACATTTTGGGGGGGTTTTTTCCCCTTTTTTTATATGTGGCTTTTATTTTATTTTATTTTTTTATGTGTTACTTTTCTTTTTTTTTATTTATATATTTTTTTTTTGCACTTATTGTTATTGCTATTATATAGGGGGATAACAACCCCCTATATAATAGCAAAGGCACACTGACAGGTCCTCTTTATGGAGATATTAGGGGTCTCTAGGACCCCTAATATCACCTATGGACCCCAAAAGAAGCTGATAAAGCAGAGATCTGCTTTATCAGCTTCTTCTCTCTCCAGATGACTGACAGGTGAATGCGGAAGTGATGTAACACACATCACTTCTGCATTCACAGCCCGGACGGGGATCAGCAAGGAGCTGATCTCCCGTCCTCCTCCTCCTGACGCCCTCCGAGCCGGTCCCGGGGGGGGGGGTGCCGCGAACGAGCACATATAGGCGATCGGCGGGCTATGGACCCGCTGATCGCCTATATGTGTGACACCCGGTACCGGGTGTGTGCATTGTCGGGTCTTTTCTGCCCGTGCGTGCCCGCTAGGGGGCGCGCGCGAGCAGAAAAAAATTGCCGTCTGGAGACGGCAACCCACAGATGCAGCAGTGCCGTCCGTCCGTTTTTCTACTACGGGCGGACGGCAAGAGGTTAAGGAACCTGGCCTTGGGGCAGCAGAAAGAGTAAATCAGGCCCTGAGTACAGGTTTCAGTTAATGTAATATTGCAGCTAAAGATGACATTATATTGAATACCTAATATAATCAGATTACGATAAATAAGAGAAAATTCCTTTCCTTTAAGCAGAACTCTGGGCAAATCAAATCTTAACCCATGCAGTGGGGCTACCCCTGCACTGCATTGATGTTTTGTCCAGGGACTCACCCGAACCACAACTCCTACACCGCTCCCTCCAGCCTGCCTCTTCCTTTGCACCAGCGATGGTATGGGGCTGGATTCCCCTCTCCCCGCTCCGATCTGCCAGCGCTGAATGGCGGAACAGACGGGGGAGGAGGCGGGTACAGCTGGGTCTCCCTCTAGAAAGGCAGAGCCACCTGCAAAGCCAGCTGTCACTCATGCAGCTGGGCGGATTTCGACATCCATGTCGGGATCCGCTCTGGCTGCGGCGTCTCAGTATACCGCGAGCTGTAGCTCGCGGTATACTGAGCTTAGGGTAACGGGAGGACGCTAGTTTGTGTCCTCCCGTTACTCTAAGGAGAACTATGGGGAAAAACACTGACCCCATAGTTCTCCTTTAACTCTTGCAGTGCAGGGGTAGCCCCACTGCAAGGGTTAAGATTTGAATTGCCTAGAGTTCTGCTTTAATAATATGACATTAAAGGAAACCTATATGTTTTTGGGTCAGTGTTATTCATCTATTTTATTTAAAAAAATAAATACATTTTTTAGATTAAGAAATCCCATAGTCACAAGTCCCATAAAGAGCTATAAGACTCTGACAGCCACAGGCATGACTCCCAGAGTCAGATGCATGATCAAATTTGTAGTTTCACCACAGCTGGAGGACCAAAGCTTACTGTCCCTGCTTTTATTAATAGGCTTCTTTCAAAGGGGAGTGGGGGAGGAGATAAGGACAGCTTGTAACGCATGTAAAATGGAGCCTAAAGCTCAGCCTACTAGATGAATAAAAGACAACTTACTTTAATTAAAAATTAAAAAATAAAAGTTTTAATTACTTTTAATTTAAAAAAAGTTATTTAATAAAATTAAAATTACTTTTAATTAAAATTACACTATTATTTATTAATATTAAACACTAATAAATTAATATTAAACATTAATAAATTAAAAAAGATCTATACATAATTTACCTGAGAACAGTTGAAAACGGCCCTGTCGAATGACTATACTTTAGACTAGGGATGCACTGATACCTGTCTTTCGGTATTGAGTACCGATATTTTTTTTTTCAGAATATCAATACCCGAGGTCCCATTAAGGAAGCCAGGCGGCGTGTAATGACTTGCCACCTGGCTTCCTGATTAGCCGAGAGGCCAGGCGGCGTTTAAAAGACTTGCCACCCAGCTTCCCGATTAGCAGGTAAGCTGTCTCCATGCTGCTCGTCATTACATGCCGCCTGGCTTCCTGATTGGCTGGGAAGCCAGCTCCAAGCTCCCTCGTCAAAAAGTATCGGTGCATCCCTACTTTAGACACTGATAGGCCAAAAATAAGTGGCCTGATACTTCACAAATAAAACAGAGTATACATAAATCAAATATATTGTGCTTTGATCGTCTAATGTCTATGGGTGCATTTAGAATGAGTAAACTAATGAAACAATGTCTGTTTGTGTTGTGTTTATTTGTTATCACTGGTTACAAAAATGCACTTTGTACATTAAAATCTAAAAAGAATATATTCATAGGAATAAAACCAATATTAAAAATTCAACTTGAGGTAAAAAGTACAGCAGTAAAAATGGAAACAGGATACTTACGCTTGCATACGTATTTGCCAGACCAGCGTTTATCTGCCTGGCAGATAACTTGCGATGCCCCGCTTAGTTCATAGCCTTTCTGACAGTAGATGTTGCACCGAGTCCCTTTCACAGTTTTATAATAAGATCGGGAAGGGCTTGAACAGGTGGCATGTCCGTTTTTAACTTTGATGGGAGAGCACCATGGGGTATCTGAGAATATATAATTCAAATGATATGTAAAGTGGCACAGACAAAAAATAGTAAAACATAAGTCCACAAAAAGAGAAACTTGGCATCACAATAAACACCGATGAGAAAGGATCTGAACAAATGATGTAAATTAGCCAAATGGCCCAAATAGCTGATTTGGAAAAATTATCCAATTCAGCTCACTTTCCAGTTTAGCTATGTTGTCCTAAATTGTTCACTTCTCCTGCTTCCTCCAACCTCTTCACCCTTTTGAATAAAAGTGTGTGTGTGTGTGTGTGTGTACAAAGTGTTCGTATAGATATTAAAGTGACATTAAAGTCAAAAGTTTTTTTTCCCCTCTCCCCCATGTTAATGTCAGCACTTAAATTATGTATCTTATTCCGATCTTCTTCTTCTTTCCTGATGTTTTCATTTGTTCCTCCAGCAGTGTGGCTGCTCTCCGATCCAGCGCTGACTGCTCTGTCCCTCCAATCCAGCGGTGTCTGCATGCGGGTGCACGCGTCCATAGACTTACCTTGCGTCTCTGCTCGTCTCCCGGCCGAGAATCCGAACTGCGCATGCGCCCGCCCCAAGATCCTTTGCGGCCGCACGAGCAGTTCCTGATTCTCGGTGCGGGAGCGCGCAGCGATAACGAGGTAAGTTTAAACCGCTGTTAAAGCGGGTTTTTTTTAACTTTTTGCCTATATCTACTGCTTGCTAGCTCTAGTTGTCAGCATTATGTGGGTTTCTCCAGTTTCAGTCATAGATAGAAACAGCTTATTCAGGTCAGATACTGACTATGCCAATGTTAAAGTTTATTTACTCAAAAAGAGGTGTATGACAGTCAATACGTTTCAATCTTTCTTGTATCTCTGAACTGTGCTCATTTGATCCAATGCAGATGTTTGCATGTTCTTCCTCTGCTTGTGTGGGTTTCCTCCGGGCAGGGGCGGACTGAGCCGGGTGGCAATTGCCCCCCGGACCTCACGGATGGCGTCACGAACGGCCCCTTGACCCCCTCTGCCACCTGCACCCGATGCGGGTCTGTGATCGGCACGGCCGCTGCTCCTCAAGGGGTTGCTCGGGAGGCCCCAGCGGGTGGCCCTCTAACATGCCTGATTAGAGGGCCGCGTCTACCTGGTCCAGCCAGCCTGGATCGCCTCTGTATGTGAACCGGACTGGCTGGATCAGGCAGACGCGGCTCCCTAATCAGGCGCTGTAGAGGGCAGACCGCTGGGGCCCACCGAGGACCCCCTTGACGACCGAGCGGCCGCCTATCGCAGAGCCGCATCGGATGCGGGCGGGCAGGCCTGGTGCAGGTGGCAGAGGCGGTGGAGGGAGGGAGCCACTGCAGTTGACCTGATCCCTGCATCCACCAGTCTCCCACGCTGTTAGAAGCTGCATACAGCATGTGCTGGTTACTAAGTAAACCGGCGCGCTGTGTGCAGCTTCTAAGAAGATACGCTATTAGCGTAGCGGGAGCGATGCAAAATGTGCAGCCAGCTTCATCGCTCTTCAATCATCGATTAATCAGCTTTCGATTAGTTACTAATGGTACATTGTGCTGTATGTTATACCATCAGCTATAGAGGACTATAAATCCCAGCAATAATGACTACCAACAGCTATAGAGAACTACAATTCCAAGCAATACATTACACAACAATTCAGAATACCATCAGCTATAGAGGACTATAAATCCCAGCAATAATGACTACCAACAGCTATAGAGAACTACAATTCCAAGCAATACATTACACAACAATTCAGAATACCATCAGCTATAGAGGACTATAAATCCCAGCAATAATGACTACCAACAGCTATAGAGAACTACAATTCCAAGCAATACATTACACAACAATTCAGAATACCATCAGCTATAGAGGACTATAAATCCCAGCAATAATGACTACCAACAGCTATAGAGAACTACAATTCCAAGCAATACATTACACAACAATTCAGAATACCATCAGCTATAGAGGACTACAAATCCCCGCAATACATTATACACTGTATGTATAATGTATTGCTGGGATTTGTAGTCCTCTATAGCTGATGGTATTCTGAATTGTTGTGTAATGTATTGCTTGGAATTGTAGTTCTCTATAGCCAGGAGAGTGTTTATGAGACAGATAAATGTGAACTGTTTTAATGGCCTCAAGTAGGTAAACAGACATATTAGCGTAGTGTTTTGCCCTCCTAAAAGATCTGCACTAATATATGTAGTGTGATAAAACATGTTCTGAACAATGCTGATCTTAGTGGGAACATTCTGGACACGTTTAACCTATACTAGTAGGACTGCTAAGATAATTGTGATCATTAGAGTGTCACTAAACGACCCATGTAAAACAGATATCCCAGTCCTGGGTCATGTGCACCACTCTGCTCAACCAAAAAATCCCAATACACATTGCACCAGTGGTCCTAATACATGTGTCAGTGTATCAATGAATTTGCACTGTCACTCAAAGATCGTAGCCAGTGTTGCGTGGGCAGGATGCTATGAATAGGAGTGACATTTTCTCTCAGTTTTGTCACCATGGACTGTCACTGAAATCCATGTTGTAAGAGAGAAGAGGAGAGTGGCTATATTTCCACATACAGTTGGACCATGTAGAGCGAATGTAGCCACCCTCATAAAGAAAGTTGCGCCTGAGCAGATTTGATTTGATATTTTTGTGAATATGCTGTCAGACGCTGGCATTACAAGGGCTGGAGATGAATAGCAATAAAGCTACAGAATATTATTTATTTTGGGGGAGAAGGGGGGTAAGTAACACTTCAAGGGATGACCTACTGATCAAAGGATGTCTTTTTGTGTCTGCCAAATGTGTCTGTAGCACATCTGGCTTTCAAGTCTTTAAAATTTCATGTGAAATAATAGATGACATGATCTGATAACATTCAAGAGAGTAAATTCATTAAGAGGTAGAAGTTACTGTTTTATCTCCTGATCATTTTCTCTTCACAATATTTCATTTACAAATATAAATATTGATAAGGTGTGCAATTGTTATTTGTCCAATGAAGAAGATATATAAACATCTCATCATGAATTGTTATTTTTATCAAAATTAAAATTACTTTATTTTCTGCTCTCTTTTCAATTAAGGTTATTTAGGAGAAAGGTTTTGTTACAGCGCTTTTTCATAGCTACTTTTAAAAAAAAATTGTGTTCTTCATCTAAAATACAAGGAAATATTTTATTTTTCAGGCTTTTTTCAACTATTTTATTGTAATAGCTGCCGAAAAGATTTCTTTGTTTACTTACCAGCTGTGCTTCATAGAGACTCTGATGCAAGCTAATCCTCTGGGATTACATGTTATATTGTGTATTTCTTCAAGTTAATGCCAGCTGGGGATACATTTGTTATATGTGTGGAACATTCTTTGTAATGCTCTTCTTTCAAAAATATGAAAATAGCGGAACACAGCATATTGAACGGGACTGAATGTCAAAAGTACAACATGGTATTAGTTCTAGCACAGAGTATTCTTGGCTAAAATGTATTAGCAGGTGATAAGATGATAGGATGTGGAGTACTCTATTAGGCGTATGTGTGCTTAAAGTCTTTTTCCACTTTTGCAGTAAAATTTGAGAAAACTCAACTATATGTTTGTTATGTGTCCCCATTCACAAAGTATACTTAAAAATTGTTTTTAAAAAAAATCTTACATTTCTAGTTGTTTTTTGGAGAAGTTTTATACATAGAGCACTGTGGGCAGCTTGCATGGATAAGAGCAGAGGGACTTCGACTCAGCCGATCCAACATCTGCATCGGCTGAGCGGAAGCTCCGGCAGCTCGCTGCCGGTCGCCCCTATTCTCATTCTCTTTCGGCTATTCTGCTCGGTACCTCCGAGGTAGCGGGCAGAATAGGAAAATCGTTAGATACATTTTTTTTTAAAAAGTTGAACAATTCTTTTAAAAATTTAAACAAATAGGAAAATTAAAAAATACATATATTTTAAAGAAAATAAAAAAAATAATGAAGCATCTGACATGTCAGCAAAATAAAAACAATTGGGAAGAGCTGGCGGTGACAGTTAGCTCTGCCCAACTGTTTCCTATTGGCCGTCACCTGCCAGAGTCTTCTAGTAGGTCCCGGACAATGAATAACAACTGGGGTCTGCCCAGTTGTTATTGTTTAATGACAGATCAGCGTCCCCATATCATTTGGGGATGCTAATCTGTCATTACAACTGGGCAGAGTGAACCGTTAGATCACGGCTGGCTCCGCCCAGATGTCATTTGCGTAGAGAAAGGTCGGCTTCCCTGTCACTACGGCTCAGCCAAACCATATGCGTTGCGAATAGCCCGTACAGCAGCCCTTTGGTTCGACTGAAAGCGAGCTGAAGATTTAGCCGAAGCTGCAGCTGGATCCTTTGGCTCTTTAGTAAATAACCCCCTAAATGTTGCAGGCTTCTGATCGTTTTGGGAAAGATCAGAAGCCTTTAGTGACACTGACCCTGACATGCTGTCAGAATTAGTATCTGTAAAAAATAAGTCAAGGCAACTGGACTTGCTGTATTTTTCTTGAAGACGTTTCACTGGTCATCCAACTAGCTTTCTCAATTCCGAATTCTGAATTGAGAAAGCTGGTTGGATGACCATGAAAGGTCTTCAAGAAAAATACAGCAAGTGGCTCTCACCGTTCTCCGTGCCCTGATTGGGCAAAGACTTGCACCTGACCTGTAGTCAGGTGCAAGGCTTTAGCCGATCAGGGCTCACAAGGCACAGTGCCCTGTGCGGGGTGCACGGCAGGCGAGCAGGCAGCTGAACACCCTGGCAGTTTGCGTGTTCGCCGAACACATGAACTGCCGATGTTCGAGTTGAACTCACATTCGGATTCAACATCAAGCCAAAGGATTTATTTAACTCTTTAGTGAATGGGTAGGGGTACCCCCTTACTCATTCACAAGGGAGGGAGATGGCATCTGGGTAGCCCTTTGTTAAAGGGGTACCCCGATACAAATAAGCCCCCTTGCCCGCAGACCCCCACAACCAGGGCTCGTGGGGAAGAGGCCCTTGTCCCCATCCCCCTTTTCTAGGGGGCGACCCTGGAAAAGCACCCTCCCAGTGCCGAGGGCATGTGGCCTGGTGTGGGAGGGGGGGGGCGTTCACTCATCCCCCCCCCCCTTTCCGGCCCTGTCAGGCCTATGCTTGGATCATGAGTCTAGTACAGAATTTTAGGGGGACCCCATGTTTTTCCCCCTCCATTTTAGGGAGAGGGGTTCCTCCTTAAAATTCCTACCAGACCTTAAGGGCCTGGTATGACTTCTGGGGGGAACCCCACGCTTTTTAAAAAGGGTCTGATATTGTTTGGGAGGGGGAACTGCACGCTTAAAAAAAAAGTTTGCTGCAGCAGGTTCTATACATCGTACAGATGTGTAACATTACAGGCAGGTTAAGGGGACCTCCCAGGCACGATATTTAAAGGGATTTTTTATTTTTATTGTTACCCTTTAAGTGATGTTAAAATCACTGCTCCTTTAAAAACTGTGTTTTTTAAAAGTTTTTTTTTTCCATTGATTCATGTCCCCCAGGGCAGTACCCGTATCCCCATACACTTTTTATGGCCATTAACTTGCATATAAGCCCTCTTAAAGGGGACAATTGTTTTTGACTTGCATTGAGTTTTACTTCAAAGTTTTTGGATGTTCTAAATTTTAAATTCGAACTGAAATCGGGCCTGTTTGGCACATCACTACTCCCCACCAATGCACTTATCCTGCTCTTATCCTCTTAGCTAATCAGTGGACATTATGTGGTGTCATGGGCAGTTGCATTAGAGTTATCGTTCCTGTAGAGTCACAGTGTGAAGAGAAATTTCCACAGTTGTGGGCTCCAGTTACCACATTGAGGAACCCAGCATGTCAATGTAAAATAGTGATTTCCTAGAGAAAAAGGAGGTTAGGTAATCTGGCAACCCTATGTGGGTGCCCTGTCACTAAGGGGAAACCTGTGGAGCTACAACACAGACAGAGAGTGTCCACAACTGCAGGCTATTCCAACCAAGTGTGAAAAACAAGATGTAAACTGAAAGTCATAAATGCATTGCTTAAAATAAGAGAGAGTTTAATTCTACACAGATAAATGTAACGTACACAGACATAAGCCATACCCCCTGTATATGAAAGTGAATGACAGACAAATATAACATTTACATTCAGAAATATGACATGAACTAAACATAGAATAAAGTAGGGAAAAAAAACTTGAAACAGACAACATAATAAAAACATTAGTTTGACATTCGTGACAGTTCTAAGTATGCTGCAGATATCAGGCAAGTCTTAGTAAGTTAGAAGTTGTTTAATAACATCCACACAAAGCATACAACATGCAGGGTAGGCAAAGCATTCACCTCTGTTGTGGGATCTAGAGTATGCGTTTATATCCTCATCATCTTCCAGTGGTGAATATGCCGATCCTAAAATAAAGGAAATACAAAAAATGGCGGAGAAAAAAATGTTGAAGCAGCGGTGAAATTAATATGATAAGCGGTCATTTTAGGAAATATTATTAGCCAGTGCATTAATAGTGCCATTCTGAAATTGTACACCAGGTTATTTAGTTTATTTTTTTAAAGCTGAACTCCAGGGAGATATACAGACCCCTACTGATTCTTGTTGGGTATTAACCAGTTGACATCCGCGGTGTTAAACCCCCTTCCCATCCAGGCCATTAACCCAGTCTGCAAGTTTGAGGCAGGCTGATGACCCAAGCTATACTGTATAAACAGAAATAGCAAAAGTAAAGTCAAATATGTTTAGCTGTTTTCCTAGATCTTTAAAGGACAAAGTGGTTGGCAAAAATAAACATTTATAAATTTTGTTTTAAATATTTACCCAATACAGGCTCATTTATTTCAACCTGTGCTTCTTCTGTAAGTGTTTGAACATACATTGGATATGGATTGCAGCAGCAAAGTACATTGTCTTGGAGAGGGAACTATTAAAGCAAGGAAAATGTTTCCTAACCCTTGCACCTTTGTACTGCAAGGGTTAAGTGCTCGTTTTTGTCTAGGTTCAATAATAACAAAGTTATACTCACCTGATACTTAACGCCGGCTTGCTCTTAGACCAGTGCCTTCCGCCTCGCTCCCCTTCTGCTGCAGTGGTCGAAGGTCCCATAAGTTATCATGTCCTGTGAGGGGGAGTGAAGTGGAAGGGACCTATCTAAGAGATCGGGTGAGTATAACTTGTCCTAGATCCTAGACATAATTAGCACATAATTGCAAAGTTCAAGAAAAATTTTCCTCGGAGTTCTGCTTTAAGGATATGATATCTGCACATTGCTTGGGATTCACACATCACCTGAGTGTACTTAATTAATGCCAGTGTTTTTTAGTTTATTTCTAAACCTGTCATCTTCAAATACAACAGGTATAGTTGGGGGCCGCATTGGTGTATTGCACATTTGCCCTTGACCACACAAATATTTATGAAGGATCAGGATAAGGACTGAACTTTGTAAATTTGGTTAGTAAATAATAGTATTATTAGATTTATTATTTTAGCATTGCATAGTAAGTGCTGTAATATAAAGCCAGTTAACATGAATAGTTAATTCATTCAAGTATTTAGAATAAAATCGTTCAGGGTTTTGCAGTTTCGCCTGTAACCAAAAACAATAAATATTCTTCATTAACCTTTAAAAAGCATTGAAACATAGCACCAATTATCTAATAGCTTTCACTCACCATTTAGTGACAATCAATATATTGCTTATTAGATTTACAGATCCAGTCTAAAGGGACCTTTCTATAAATCCACAATTTGACACAAATGTAAAACAGTAGTATTCTATGAAATAAGCACTACGAGCAATGATAGTATTCAAGAGCGGGGTAATAGGCATCCTGCCAATGAAACAAATACTGTCAATATTAGTCCACAATTGTACATCGGAATAGTAAAATCAAGGATCACAAAGGCATAGACTATCTGTCTGTGATAAATTGCTTTATGTAGTTTAAAGAAAACCTGTGTCCAGATCATGCACACTGTCGTATTTACATATTCTGAAAAAGCAGTAAAAAGCACTTTTAAATCAACCCTTTATTCATCTCTATAGCTATAAACATTGAGGAGAAAGTCATTTTCAAAGTTTACAAAACTGGAAAGGAAATCTTATTTTTTTTTCTTTGGAGAGCAGATCTTGGCAGGCTGCCAACCCTCGAATGTAAACAACCAGCAGCTGTAGAGCCTCAAATCATCTCTGAATTGGTGGTGACACTATCCTTCCTTCTGGAGGGTGGCTAATTTTGTTCCCCATGATCTGTTTGTGTTGTAAAGTAGCCACCACTCCAGGCTCGCTCCCGTGATGGACTGCAATCTCTATTTACTAATTTGTATTAAGGTTGTAGTCCATCACAGGAGTGAGCCTGGAGTGGTGGCTACTTTACAACACACACAGGGACCATGGGGAACAAAAGTAGCCACCCTCCAGAAGGAAGGACAGTGTCAACACCAATCCAGAGATGAGTTGAGGATCTACAGCTCAGTGATACACAAATAAGATACACAAGAGTTGGGCCCCTTATTATTGTTGCATTACATGTGCAACTTATCTGCGCCATTGGTTAAACAAGAAGAAAAAGTCCATGCTTTTCGCAGTCCCAATGGTGTGGAGGGAACAAACCAATCATAGTAGAGACTGCTATTTTTGCATGGTTCCCCCAATTGCAAAAGGGATCTCAAGAAAGAAGAAATGGACCATGGAATATCCAAACATTCCATCCGCACTGCGTCCTGTACCCGATGGTGAGGACTTGCCTATTCCAGATCCACCAGAATCCTACTCTCTAGACTCAGATGATGATATAGTCGATGAGCAGAATGCAGCTGATCCAGGGATGTCGATGTCAGCTGACCCAAAGGTTCACAGGAGAAAAGCCAAAAAGCTCAGTTTAGATACCGAATAAAGATGGAACCTTGTCATTTGATCTGATGTTAGAGCTTGTCAGTTTTTCATGCAAAAAGCATGAAAATGTTACATGAAAAACCAATAATAGAATGGAAAGTTATGTTATTGGTATCAATAAAAAGAGAAATCTATAATGATTGGTGTGGCACCATTCTCATTGCTATATCACATTTTGCAGAAAAGGAAGTTATGGAGCATAATCACACATCTCCTTCGTCATTTTGAATTATTTTGATGCAATTTTGACCGGAAGCTGTATTTTGGAAACTGGAGCCAAGTAATACTCAGGACTTAATTTTCCTTTATTTTGGTAAACTTTAACTACTTTCTTATTCGAGGCTTTCTCCTTGTAGACCAGTGTAATTATTATTTCTCTACTCCTGCCCTGTTTTTAGGATTACAGATTGTTTTTCCCACTTTAATAATGTGATTTTGTAATTAAGTATATTGTTTATAATAAACATAACACATTCTGAGAATCACTGTCCAGTATTGTATTCATTTCTACTTTTAAGCATATTCATAGAGCACATCCATCTAATTTGTTGTCATAAGTTATTGCCATTAGCTTTGTTACCATTTCTAAATAAGTCTATAATATTGTAAATTATAAATCCTGAATCTGAAAAACAAAACTCCACTCTGCAATATCTGAAAGAAGGAAGAAACATATCTCGGATTCAGCCGGAAACAAGCTGACCCGAAACAACAATCGGCATCAATTTGCATCAAAATAAAAATGCGCTGTGCCTGAGTCCATTCATAATAAGATGGTTATTCTGTCACGTTCATCCTTTTATATTCAGACTGCACAAACCACACAATTACAGTGTCTGGATCACTTCAAATGCAAAAGGAAATGGGAGGATAGTGATTAGAGGCGAGATTTGTATAGAATAGTAATTCAGACACATACAACAATAGACTCTGGTTGTACAGTATGAAGAAATCTGTTGGAGATTGCTATTATCTTTAGAAGAACTATGCCTTTCTTGTAAAAATATAGAGACACTAGCCGGTCTGTAACGCATGCAACTGGAAGTGTCAACTGGAGGAACTGAAATAAAATAATACAAATTCATGCAGGATATGTAAGGGGAATGTACAGATAGCCAAACAGCTCTTAAAATTACTCAGTTGTATGAAAATGTACTAGTCAAAATATCTATAATATTGGCCAGCCTCTCCTCTGATTTAAACACTCCTGCCACGCTATACACGCATTATAAAGAGAGTAGATGGCGCTGCTATTCAAGGTCTTCAAATGGGCAGCATTGCCTACCCACCTCCAGCAATCTCATTGGACTGTGAGTGAGCATCTCCACCCTGTTGAGCTCCTCTCTGTGCTCGCTTTATCCTATTTGTAAAAACTCCTCTCTAAAAACATACACTGCAATGACATTAAAAATAAAGCAGGAATGTCTATATATATAAAAGATATAAAATCGACGTGACTGGAAATCCCCAATTCACAACAATGTATGAAATGTTTATCAGAGAAAGTGGGGTTGATTTACTAACCTTATAAACACACCACGAACATGTATACACCTCTGTAGTGTGTTCCCTCCCAGCATGATCTATGGGTGGAATCGAAACACCTTTGTAGTGTGTACACACCCAGCAGGTGTGTTGTGCAAAGCCTTGCATGAATTGCAAGGTGATGTTGTGTAAATTAGCTCTATGTTGTGTTGCTTGCGTTGATGAATGCAGGAATGTAAATGCATGAGCTAACCATTTTTGTCTAAACTGTGAAGCAGCATTATATATGCATCATGTGCATGATTTTTCCATATATGGCATTAGTGGAAATATGCTTTTAGAGACTTTTTGGTTGATAAATACGTTTTGATGTGTGAAAATCTCACACACCTGGTGCGTGTGTCTGTTTAGGTTAGTAAATCACCCCCAGTGTCTCTGCCCTAATGACTCATTGGGGATTCCCAATCACCAGGACATTATTTATTTTTGTATGGTGGTTACCTAGACATACTGATGTGTTGTTTGTTTTCTATGGTATAGCTGGATGATCATTATTGGATTTGGATGCAATTGAAATTGAAAAAGGATAGGGGGCGCCTGAAACTGTTGTTTGTTTACCAGTTGTGACGGTATTAATGTTTGCTCTATGGAAAGATGAATAAATAATAATTGCAATAATTCTGGTATTGCATCCGATTTGACGTATTGGAATTGGAAGCGCTAAAGTTTGGAGCCTGGTTGATGCAGCTACTATGGGACAGTGATTGGTAATACATGCAGTTCACCCAATTATTTAGCAGTGTCTGTATATGTATTTTGAGAATGACAGACTGTGAATGCCACAATATCACTATAATAAAATGTACACCAAGCATTTACACCTGTTTGAAGACCTATGACTGCCTACTGAACTATTGCTATACTACGGCTACCATGTAGATCATCCAGGTGTGTTTTTCTGGATTGTGGGCTGGTACCAATTATATATAAGGTGGTTCCTAGTGGTTCATCACAGAAGTA